TACAGTATTACACAGTTAGCATGTTTTCCTTTCAATGTTCATCATTTCACTCACCCCCACGAAGTCTTCTAATAGGTAATAGTAAAATGTAGTGTAATGTTTCAACTAAAGAAGATACTTGTAGATTACAGATTTAGATAAGATGCTACATAAATAAACCCTTTCTCAAGTGACTCGTACGCATCAACTTTCACGCACCTCTACTATTCTCATGTGACAACTACTAGACCTTATTACATTCAATTGTCAAACTAACTAATACGGGATATTAAATCGACTATCATGACTTGAAACTATTCTCCCTCAATCTTTTATTGTTTATATGACTCTTATCGATCTCTAGGATAACCCATGTTAGTGATAAAATCAATCATATTTGAAACTCGACCCTCAACCCTCAACTATATCTACTGTACTCAAAACGGTTTGTAACAGTCCAAGCCCACCCTAGCAGATATCTCTTCCAGGCTTCCCCTCAAGATTTTACGTGTATGCTAGAGAGAGGTTTCCACACTCTTATAAGGAATGCTTTGTTCTCCTCTCCAACCGATGTAAGATCTCATAATCCACCCTCCTTAAAGGCCAGCGTCCTCGCTGGCACACCACCCAATGTCTAGCTCTGATACCATTTGTAACAACTCAAGCCCACCTTATCAGATATTGTCCTCTTTGGACTTTCCCTCAAGATTTTAAAGTGTGTCTACTAGGGAAAGGTTTCTCCACCTTTATAAGGAATGCTTCGTTCCCCTCTCCAACTAACGTGGGATCTGAAGTCACACTGTTACTACTCAAACTACACCAATATCGTCTATAAATTTCACCTAGAAACCATATTTTGGTTGACCCTCAACGAACCAATTGTACTTAGATCTGTAAGAGAATCATAACCAACAATTATATCACTGTTCTCACCTGTTCGATTACAAAACAGTGATTGCAATAGTCAGCATCATATTATAGACCACTAAAGCTTTGAAACTCTACACACTTCTAATGAGAATGATAGATAGATAGTGCAAGAATCCATGGTTCTACGGGTGCTCTGAAGGAGGAGAAATTACAAGCTAAATTAAGAAACCTCAAGTTCATGGAATGTCATAATGTTTGGTATGCTAGGAATTCTCAAACAGATAAGTAACTATCACAGCATACCAATCAAGCAAAGAAGGTTTGAATTGGATATAGAATGGTAGCTTAGCTCAAAATTTATTGATCAACAGCCAGCAGAACTCACAGAAGGCAATAGAATCATTGAATGTAATCAAAGTTTTCAAAGAACAAAAACTTATTCTGATCCCAGAAAAGATGGAATTCTTTCCAAATCTAATCAAGATTTCAAGCGAAGATTAGAACCAGAATCACCCTCTCAAATTTTCAGAAGCCATAGCTAAACTAAGTCCGATGAACTCACTACAAAATTAACATATAGAACCCTAATAAAAAGCCTAATCAGCCCAAATCAAGTACGAAAAATTCATAATCAAAGTGGTGGGAAAGGAGCATAAACTTGATTCAAGCCTAACCTAAATCAGTTCGTCTTAGGATCTGGCATCGGGAACAAGCCGGCGCCGGCGCCCCTTGGCGGCGAGAATCCCAAGAACTTCTGCAAATTGGTCCTAATGCTAATCGAACAGAGGAAGTACAGAAACGCCATAGCGCAATCGGTAGGATCATCGCCCTGTAAACCTCGGTGGCTCATCTTCATCACAAGTCCAAAAGGCTTAAAAGGCAATTTGGCAACAACCTTGCCTTCGAAGAGCGAATTGAGCAATCCAAATACGACGAACAGAACAAGGGCAACGACGGCGCCGGATTTGAACTTGAAGAGTGAGAGGTCGCGGCTGGATTCCTTGAGACTGGTCTCGACGCGATCGATCTTCTTGGTTTTGGACTTCTTGACGGTGATTTTGGAGCTGTCTGTCTTCATGGTCTCGAGCTTTTTGGCAGCCTTGTCGATGGAGGATCGTAGGGTTTTGTAGGAGTTCGTGCGGTAGATGAGAAGCCATGAGATGGCCTCGCACACGATGGCGGTGCAGACGGAGATTCCGACCACCGTAAGGCTGTCGGAGTATCGGAAGGAGGAGAAAAGGGGGATCGTGGCCATCACCGGAATCGGGAGGAAAGTGGGGAAATTTGAAGGAAAGATCAAAAAATTGTTGTGGAGAGTTGGATTGGATCTGAAGGGAAAATTGTGTTTGAATCTAAATTATGTGATTTCAAACAAAATTATCAACTTCGATCAATTATGAGGGAAAAGAACGGCCACACTCATTCTCTTACAAATATTTATTTATATATATATATGGCTGAGATTCATGTTCAAATCTAGTTGACATTTTTTCTTCTTTCCCCCGCATAAAATTTTAGATAGGCTACAAAGTTATGGATTTCGATCAATTATGAGCTAATACACTGTTCGGTGTCTTGTCTATGACACTATTTGTGATGATCCAAACTCATCGTTCAGTGTCTTGCCTCTAGCAATTATGAGCTGTCACACCGCTTGGTGTTTGCCTTTAACACCATTTGTAATGGTCCAAGTTCATTGTCTCGTACCTTGCCTCTGACATTGTTTGTAATAGCTCAAGTTCACCATTAATAGATATTGTTCGATTTAGCTCGTTACATTCTATTGTCCATCTTATAGTTTTAAAACTCGTCTGCTAAAGAAGAAGTTTGCACCTACTTTATATAAAGAAATGTTTCAAATAGAATAATAAATTAGGAATATTTTTAAAAAAAATAGTCTGGTCAAATTTGAAAAAATTAAAAGTTTAGGGCAAAAATGTAAATAAGACTTTTTGTTTTGGATCTTTGGGCCGAAGCTCGGAACGAGGGCTAATTTTCAACTCCCTCTTATCTGTTAAGTTGGACACAAAAGCTCACTTTTAGTCCATCATCGGAGCCGGAGAAGGTGGCCAAGCTCTGCAGTGCGTCGGCTCCTCGTCAGAAACTTGAGGTGCGTCGGCCTCACTCTATATCTGGCTGTTTTTCAAAACTCTGGAAATGTTTCGGTAGCATTACCTTTGAGTTTCGGTCAATCAAGGAGTTTTTGTTGTGTTTCTATCTCGTGTTTATGTAATGCTTTTATCGATAGCTTAATGGTTTTTTCTTTTGACGTTTATGAAGTTCAGATTTTCTGGAGTTTTAAGCCTAAAAACTAGGGCTAAGAAATTTGCAATTTGAAATGCTTTCGACATTTTTCTGAGTAAAGTAGCGTTAAGTTTGTTCTTGCATCTTCATAATAGTACAATTTCCTGATGTTTACTAGTGGTGAATTTGAACTTGCTTTGAGTTATCTTTAAGTGGAGCACGTTGTCCAAAATGTTCAGGTGTTGCTTGCTCCCCTAAATGCTTAATAGATTTTAGAAGTTACAAAACCTATCACTTTTAATGTTCTCAAAGAGATTGGTTTAAAAGGTGATACCTCTAAAGCTTTGAGAGTGACCTATTCTGGGTGGATATTGCTAACTTTGCTCTCACAGGTGTGGAAAATGGGGAGCAAATTGCAATAGAAGTAGTACTGACGGAGGAAGAAATTGTAGCATCATTGCAATTCACTGCAATTACGAACAACCCGAGACGATTCCCTTTTGACTTGCAGGCCAAAAAGAGAGGCAATATTTCTTCCATGAATTCTCTTTTCTTACATTCTTCTCTTGGTCCACCACTTGCTTGCAAGCCCCTGCCATGTCCTCTTAAGAGGCCTATACATATGCGTGCACTACTTGGCTTTCGTTGCAGTACTAGGATATTTTCTCGTTCGGAATTATCTCCTGTCAAATTATGTCCATCCTTACATATTAGCAGATCAATCACCTGTTCTTCAACTCCTTCAAATGAGGGTGTGGTATCAGTGATCAATTTTGAAGATTTAGTTGAGAAGGACTTTTCGTTTCTCGATTCAGACGATTTTGGTTCTATAGAAGAGCATGATGAAAAGATTAGGCGCATCATTTCTGCTGGAGAAATTGCAGAAAGTTCTCAGGTTATGGTTGCCATTTCTTCAGAAGGATTTGTTGATCGGTTGTACGACTCAGCTCCTTGCCGAAGTTTACTTGTTGTCCATGATGCTATTCTACCATTAGCTTGTATTAAAGAAAAATATGACAAAGTTAAGTGCTGGCAAGGAGAAGTTATATATGTGCCAGAAAAATGGGGACCTTTTGACGTTGTATTTCTCTATTATCTGCCAGCAATGCCTTTTGAACTCGACGCAATCTTTGGCGCACTCACACAACGTTGTTTGCCAGGTGATTTTTTTTTCTTTTTTTGCATAGTTTCTTACCATCTTTGTTCGATCTCCAGATTATAAGTTATGGATTTGAGCAATTGGTTTTTTCCTTGCCTCCAAGATATATCATTAGTCCTTGGGGCAATGTTGAGATATATTGTGACATAATCTGTTAGTTCCTTTAGAAAATAAAACCACATGGAAATGAAATCTTGCTTGTTTTATAGATTCTATTACAGCCCTAAGGTAATCTATTTCCTTCTTGCTCAATAGGGGGAAGACTAGTTATTAGTCATCCCGGTGGAAGGAAAGCGTTACAGCAAGAACAGCAACAGTTCTCAGATGTCGTAGTTTCGGATTTACCTGATAGGACTACTTTGCAGAAAGTTGCTGCTGATCACTCTTTTGGCCTGACTGAATTTGTAGATGAGGATGGCTTTTATCTTGCAGTTTTGAAGTTCAACAAGGATTGATCATGAGCCTGAATATTTCATCAGAGGCCAGCAGTTCAATATCTAAGTCCTGCTGCAAAATCTTACCAAATTTGGATAAACCAAATGTTGATGTTTTTGTCATTGATCATTGAGTATCATTTCCAGGTGGTAGTGCAAAGGATCAAGTTTGATATTCTCTGATCCTTGTTGGTTGCTTAAATTCCATCCAACAAGATTGTTACAGTTCTTGCTATTTTATGAAATCCTGAATCAGATAAAGTTCCTAACATGTATTTGGGTGAAAAAATGATGATGATAACTAGATGAGCAAGGTTTGGGCATCTTGACAATTTCCTTTCAACTGTAGAATAATGGAGTAAGATCACAAGTTACAGGGGAGATTACTGTGCTTGCACTAGTGCTTGTGCCTGTGCTGGCTGTATGTTAACTAAAATGTGTATTATCTCATGGACGAGGTTGAGCTTCAGGTCCTGGTGGTTTTGAAGAATTTAGAAGCGGCTGGAGAGCCTTAACCACAATTGTCATGTTTGGCCTGAAGTCAGCCTCGTACTGAACACACAAGGCCGCAACTGCTGCCAACTGAGAGGGATTCACATGGAAATTATTGTGGAATAAGTATCCTATCCAATCCAATCCGAAACATCTACGACAATGATGAAAACTAATATGCATTGGATCGTTGATTAGCGGGTAATCGTTGATTTAGTTATAAAAACATGTTCTATGATTTGAATATGAATGTGATTACACAGTTGAAGATACCTTTGCTATCGCTTTTGGTGGGTAATCGTTGTTTAGCTTGGGATCTACACACTGTTTCACCTTGTCCTCACTTAATCTTGGTGTTGCCTGCAGAACAATATGAATGGCTTATTGAGTCTGAGTATACTGCAGGCAGTAGGAAGAAAGTAGAGGAAGGGAAGACTTACCCAAGTAACAAGACTCTGTTGTCCCTTAGGCATCGTGTGATCTACTGGCTTTCGTCCTGTCAAAAGTTCGAGAAGAACTACGCCAAAGCTATAAACGTCACTCTTTTGAGTAATCTGTCCTGTCATAGCATACCTAAAAAGAGAAACCAAAGAAAGGAAGTTGAAAGAGTTTAGTCTTACTTTCAATTCAATTTGATGAAAGGCAATATGTAACCGTTCACACCTATTACTAGTAGATATTGTCATCTTTGGGCTTTTCTTTATAGGTTACTACAAATAGTATTAAAGTCAGTTTCGAAAAATGTGATTGCACTAGTCGAAGTAGGGTTAGACTCTCTCTATAGGGAAAGCCCAAATATAACAATATTGCTTAGATATGTGCATTTATACGCTGATATAGACCAGTACTAGACACAAAAGTTACCTGAGGTAAGTATTGGATAGCATGGACCAAAATGATTACTTTTTGAAAGGTCAAGAATCAAAATGAGACGTAATTAAACGTTTAGAGACCAAAATGGAATTAAACCTACGCTCCATTGCTACTTTTGGCGTAAAATTCATTTCCAAGAGCAAGACATACAGAAGTAAACACACAAAGAGCTTACTCTGGAGCATGGTAACCGAATGTTCCTAAGACCCTAGTTGAATGAAGTCGTGCTGCTGTATCCGACGATTGATTTGTCAAGTTGAAATCAGCAACCTTCGCGAGGAAGTCGTCGAAGAGAAGAACATTACTCGACCGGATATCACGATGAACTATGGAAGGCTGAACCTTCTCATGTAGATACTCAAGGCCTTTGGCTGCACCAAAGGCAACTTTAACTCTCTGGCTCCAAGTAAGCACTGGACCAGGCTCAGCACCTTGTACTCCTTTTCTTCCTGTACTAGAAAATGATCAGAAGAGACCAAAATCGTCAACAAAAAAAGGTAACTCTATGATTTAGCTCAACATACCATGTAATATATCGTGCAAAGAACCCATTTTTGCAAACGGATATATCAAGATTCGATTATTAGCCTCCAAACAATACCCAATTAACTCCAAAAAGTTCTCTTGCTTGAGCCTAGAAACAACTGATAGCTGCAAAACCATGACAACACATGAACACAAATGCATTAGATGAGGATACTGATATATTACCTTCAACATTCATACTGTTTCAAGATCGAACCTGAGCTGCAAAATCGTTGTCGGGCTCCGGTGAAGAACTGGTATCCAGTTTCTTTATTGCAGCAGCCTGACCGCACTTTAACGTTGCATAATAAACCCGACCGTAAGAACCTTCTCCAATGAAAGATTTCGCACCAAAATTACTTGTTAACCTGTTTAGTTCATCCAGTGTAATGACTGGTGTTTCAATAGGCAATATTTGCTGAGGAGGTCCACCTCTGACAACATTGGAGCTCCTAGGCTCTCCTCTCTCGCTGCCTACAATACAAATCAACTTTCATGATCCCCACATCACATCATCCATAGCCACAACAACGCGAATCCAGCATTTGAATTATAGAAAACAAGAACAACAACCAATATGTCTAAGAACAATGGCTAACAAACAACAAAAATCCAGCAGAATCCCATCCTCCGAACGAACAGGCATTTCAACAAACAGATTGAAGGCAATAACCAAATAATTTAGAAGAACATGAGAAAAGAGCATTTACCACCATACGTATTTCCCCTCGGTGGGGCTGAATATTGACTCGAAGGCGCGCCATAATTTTCCTCCTCCACACCTCCGCAGCAGAACATCGCTTCCCGTCAATTCGTAGTAGCCTCAAAAACCTATGAACAAAGGAAAATCCACCAAATGCATCAAGAATCAATCAATTCTTTCGTCGACCCATTTAATAAGGATCGAGATGATGGAGGAACAAACAGGAAAAATGATAATAATAATTGCAATGAAAGATGAAGAAGAAGAAGAAGAAGAAGAAGAAGAAGAAGAAGAAGAAGGGGAAATTGACCTGGAATGTGAATGAAAATGTAAGCGAGGCACAGAACAAAGAGATTGAAAGCGAGGAAAGACAGAGGAGGGGAGGGGGAGGAGGGGGAGGAGGAGGAGACTCCCTGCAATGGGTTCCTGAAATGGCGATTGGAGGAAGGTACATGTTGCTCTATTTAGCGGGAAACTCGGTTGGGATTTGCCTAACCGCTTAAACCAAACCCCTCAGACGTGCGTCCCACGTCGCACCTTCAATCTCTCCTCTACGCCCTCTCCTTTTTATTTCTAATTTGAACTCTTAAAACTATAAAATATATTTAATTATAATTCAATTGGTTACTGTGGTTCAGTCTATTGTTTAGATCACATTGCATGTATATATATATATATATATATATACATGCATGATCACACTATGTCTAAGATGAATAAAGACTCTATAAGAATTAGATATACAATTCTTCATTTTCCCGTCGATAATCAGTTAAGAAGAACTTACTTCTGGAGTCGTTCTTGCTGTGACACCAAACCGACCATGACAGGCAGTATCATTCTGTCTGTAAGCTTCTACCTATCAACAATCTTTTTTATCAATGGTCGGTATAAAGAAGTGAACAACTATTTTGGACTTTTGTGCACAAATGCAAGATATAATCACAGTACCACCATAAAAATTCAGCTCCCGTTTGTGGAGAAGTAGATTTCGGTAACTTGATATTCACACAGACAAACATTCAAACAGGTTGTGGGCATGTCTCCCAGAGACTTGGCATGCAAACAAATAAGCAAACAGGAGCTTCTCGTCCCCATTAACAAGCTAAATGCAACCCAAATCATATGGTGATAACAAAGAACGAGGAATGGCACCTCAGTGATCCGAAGAACAAGACCGTCTCTCCGGAGGAGCTTTCCAAGCAAGCGTGGGGCAAGGCCCCAAGCGTCGACGCGGAACAACTCTTCGGGGAGCTTTAGTGAATCACTCGAAAGAGGAAGAGGGTTAGAATAGAGCAATTTGGATTTGTGGGCTGATATCGGGTTTCGATTTGGCCCCAATGGTGTCCAATTTGGGGCCATGCCCTATTTTTTTCTTCTTGTTCTTCCTCTGTTAAGTTTGACCTTTCGCGGGTGTTGACTTAACTGTCAACGATATGTTTTGGTATTATTAAAAAATAAATTAATAAATGACGTCTAAATTATATTTATATATATAATTTCTGAAATTATAGTTTTATTCTTATGGTTTACCTCATAAATTAATGAATATTAAGCTTAATTAAATTGGTAATATATATTAGTTAGGAACCCTACGTTTTTGGAAGGAAGAGGATATGCCGCCATTGTTCTAGAGCCTTCCAGACCGAGAACCTTCCGAAATCCGCAGTTTCCCTTTCCCTTTCCCTTTTATCTCCTCCTCCGTTTCTATTTCCATTTCCCATTCGCCACGATCTCTCTAAACGCGCCACTAAATTCTCTCTCCGACCTACTGTTTCCTCTCCCAATCTCCGATAATGGCCAAGTTCGGCGAGGGCGACAAGCGGTGGATCGTCGAAGAACGGCCCGACGGTACCAATGTCCACAACTGGCACTGGGCGGAGACCGATTGCCTCGAATGGTCCCGCAATTTCCTCTCCAAGCTCCTCTCTGACCTCCTACTTCTCGACGATGAGGGCGGCCTTTTCATCAAGATCAAGAAGGTCGACAAGGTCGATGGAGAGGCCTATGTCAATATTCGTAAGGGGAAGATCATTCCTGGTTATGAACTCAGTGTCACTCTCTCTTGGGAAGGCGAGGCCAAAGATTCCGAAGGTAAATCTCTGCAGAAGGTCGATGGGCTTGTCGAGATTCCATATATTTCCGATGAGAACGCCGATGAGGATCCTGAAGTTAGGGTTTCTGTGAAGGGCGAAGGGCCGATTGGGAAGAAAATGAAGGAGGCCATGTTGGGGAAGGGGAAACCGATTGTGTTGGAGAAGGTGAGGTTGTACGTACAGAGTATGGCTAAGGGTGGGCCTGCGAAGGATGACTTAGAGGCTAAAAAGGTGGAGCCGAAGAGTAATCAATCGGCTCCACCTGCAGCAGCGATGGCGGCTGCCCCTGCGGCATCAAAGCCAGCAGTGGTGGCGGAGAAGAAGAAAGCCAAGAAAGGGTTCAAGACGATAACGATGACCGAGAAGTTTAGTTGTAGGGCTAACGTTCTGTTTGAAATTCTCATGGATGATAATAGATGGAAAGGGTTTACTCAGAGTAATGCTAAAATTAGCAAGGAAGTGGATGGAGAGATCAGTATATTTGATGGGTCTGTGACTGGGAAGAACTTGGAATTGGAAGAGGGAAAGTTGATTGTGCAACAATGGAGATTCGGAAGCTGGCCTGATGGCATTCATTCGACGGTGAGCTGCCTTCTCCTCTACTTATCTCATTCTCAATGCATTTCTAGTAGTGTCTCTTTGCCATTATGGAATTTCTTAATGAATTGTAGTGAATAATCGACCAAATCATGAATTACCCATGTGAATGATCAAGCTAAATTGGTTCTGAAAATGGTTCACAGGTGAAATTAACCTTGGAGGAGTCGGAGCCTGGGGTTACCATTGTGAAGTTGATACATTCCGACGTGCCGGAGGAGGACAGGTTCGCTTTTTACTTGAAAAGAAGAAACTCAAGATCATTTTGTGTGGTTCTATGGCTAATTTGTTCATGTTTTGATATGAATTAGATATGGGAACGCAACTGTGGTGGAGAACACGGAGAGGGGCTGGCGGGATCTTATTTTCAACAAGATCAGAGCAGTTTTTGGGTTTGGAATATGATAGGGTTAGTACAAAAGTCCCTTGGTTTCTGCATATCTCCATGAATGAAATAGAGATTTGAAATGCCTAATTTTCTAGTGATCAAATGATGGTGTTGTTCTTACAGTGTGTTGTGTTCCATCCATATTGATGAATCAAAATTCATGGTTTTGGACTGAGTCTTGAATTATACAATTGTCATCTAATCTTATTATCATAACATTGTCACATTTTGTCTTGTCTGCTGTATCTACCTAACATTATGTTGTCCTATGCAATATGCTTTACTGGCTGAAGGGACGCAGTCTCTTCTCACTTTAACTTTAGCTTAGCTGATTCATTATGAACTCTGCAAGCGTTTGGTATTTCTTTTATGATTCCGAAGCTTTCAACTGAGACCAAAGTTTAGGAAAGGGGATGTTAAGCTCACATGATAAGCATACACAACTAAAGGTTGTATAGTCATGGATACACACTAGTGGTGTAAACAAACTTGTAGGCACATTATATCAATCGTGTGGGTTATGTACTTTTACTCATGAGCAAAATATTGACATAGTGGTTGTTGCTCTTTAGTCCACCGTTAGTAGATATTATTTGTAGCCGTATGTCTTCAACCTCTTGATTTATGTTATTTCGACGGGTGCGAACTCTGGATTCTTGTAATACTAATATTGTGTCTAGGGACTACTCTCGATTCTAACATCCTATTCTATGTTTTGGGTTCCAATGTTTTTAATAAAAAAAGAATAAAAAAGAAAGGCCGTTTGAAAATCCATCCCATTCATGAAAATAGAGTAAATTATTGGGCCCATTTTGAAGCCTGTGTGCAGAGAGGCCCGTATAAAGCCTCTTCCGGTGCAAATTATACCAAACGCTAGGATATTTCAATTTTATCCAGGTGTAATTTTCTACTATTTTTTTTTTTTTTAATTTTTACTCTCGAAATTCAAATTTGTTTTTAAAATGTCCACAGAATCCTCTGAAGATGGTTTAAAAAATATTTATGTATAATTTTTTTTTTTAAAAAAAATGTATTTGATAATATCCAGAATAAACAAATTTAAAATCTAAGATTGTAATATGTTAACTTTATTTATATATTTTTTAAAAAAGAAATATAAATTAGAGAGTAGGAGAAAATTCACATAGCACAATAAATGCCACCAAATCTAACAAGGTGGCCGACGCGTAAACTACTTTCCCTTTCTCTTAATTTCCATGTGTTCCGTACGGACCCCATCTGGTCCCACCACCACCGCTCTCCATCTCTATCCTATTTTTAATATATATATATATTTTTTTTTTTACTTTTTATAAATAAAAATTAATTAATTAATTAATTAAATTATTTATGTTAAATAATTAAATAATCATTTAAAAGTCTGATCAACACAAAATAGTTCAAATCTTGGCACCAACTGCACTGCTGTCACGCACATCGTGTGACCGTCCAATGACAACACGTAGACATGGTGGAGTGATGGGCCAAATCAAATCCATCTCAACCGTCAACTCCAAAACCGACAGCCAGATCTAGCTCGTACGCGTGGCATCATACGAACCGAGTGATTATTAATTAACTAATTATTTGAGAAAATTATTGTTTGAAAGACAGTTATTTAGTAAGCAAGCAGCATGAAAGTTAGTGACAAATGTAAAGCGAGTTTAATTAATGTGTCACAAAACGGGATCCGTTAAGAAACGGGAAAAGCGCACGGAATTTGGATTCTTCTACTCGAATTTCAAGTGCCTTTTTTAAAAAAACACATAAACGTTGGGTTATTTACAGCTCTTGCCACTGTTATTCTAGTTACATTTATTTTTTTTAAAAAAAACTCGAAATTATTCTAAATCTCAATCACAAAAAGATTAAAAATTATTAACCGAGATTCCTGGATCGAAATATCTGGAATTATCCGATCATTCTAGGATCGTTTTAAATTTTTTAACAAATATAATTATTATACTCCCAAAAATATAATGGGATGACACGTGTCCTCGAGATGAAGTTCCCGAGGCGCGTACAAATATTCCTCAACGGCGTAACGAATTTGACGGTAGTGGCAATATCGTAATAAAACGCCAGATTATGGGAAAAATATAATTAATTTTCCTCTCTCAAATCCGTATGAAACAATCGTCGTCCTCCTCCACTCGCTCGACTCAAAGACCGTTTTTCCAATCACAGATTTCAATCTCACTCTTAAACCCCACTTCCCCTCTTTCTCTCTCCAAGAATCTTCTTCGTCTTCAAGTTGCAGAAACCAGAAACTGGGTGTTTTCGTTTCTGTGATCCGCCATGGCTGAAGCCTCTAAGTACCAGCCCATCAATGGCGGAAATCTGGTTTCAGACGTCAAGAGTCTCTTCTCCATTCTCAAAACCAAGAGAACTTTGGCGTTTGCATATGGATTCATGTTCGCCTTCGTTATTTTCACTGCCTTTTTGGCTTTTAACCCTTCTGCTACAACTTCCTTTTCTCCTTCCTTATCCAATATTTTCAGTGGGAGTAACTCTCTTGGTCCTAATTCCGCTAATGGCGGTTCTGGATCTCGATACCCTTATTTTATTTCTTACTTTCTCCCTAACGGTTCTGTTCAGCAGAGTAATCAACTGATCCCTCCGCCGGCGCCGGAGGGGAATCTATCTATATCTAGTAATGCGACGGTTCATCCTCGGCCGCAGATTTTCGAGAAAGAGCCGCTGCGTGGGAAGAACCGTACGGAAGAATTGGTGCCGGAAAGTAATCCACCGGCTAGGAATCAAACTCTGGATTCCCGAGTTTCGCCTCCGATTGAAACCACCTCGCCGACGGAAACAGTTAAGAACGACACTCAATCTACGCCGGTTTCTGAAGGTACGGAATCTAATAGAACTGAATCAGTGCCTGTGAAAGCAGCTCCTCCACTGGTGGATGATCAGATTCAGGGTTCGGGCATTAAATCGACTCAGTTGGGCAATGACAGTTCTAGGGTGGAGGATAAAAATGTATCATCGAATTACACAGCTTCATTGTCGAAGAAGCAGAAGGGTGAGATGAATTCTGCTTCTGGTGGATCGATGAACAAGAATGATTGGTTTGAGTCTTTGAAGAATTGTGATTTTTTCGATGGAGAGTGGGTGCCGGATGATTCTTACCCTCTTTACAAACCTGGTTCTTGTCCGCTTATTGATGAACAATTCAATTGTCATTTGAATGGCAGGCCTGATAAGAATTATCAGAAACTTAGATGGAAGCCCAATGGATGCGATCTTCCAAGGTATGAATAATTTTGTTTTTGCAACTTTTGTTAATGGTTGAGCTTTTTTTGGCCTTTTCTATTCAGGTTTTGCGTAACTCTTACTGAATTGAATTGTTTAATCTGAAACTTGTTGCCCCTTTACTCTTTGGACCGTTCTTTTTTGATGACATGTTTGGAAAAGACGAGAAAGAAAAAGAAAAGGCAATGTTTGTTCTGAATTTGATGAATTCAAAGCAACCATTTGAGTTTTATGCTTTTGGGTTTTGTTCTTCTGCCTACGCATTCATTGTTGTGTGCTTTTGAGATATCTAATCTAGTTTAATCAAATTGGAATTGTATTAAACGATGGTTTGTAGCTCAATGTTAAGTAGTAGCCTATAGTACTCGTAAGAATTTCAAATAATCTGTTTCTTGTTCCATAAGTCCTTTATAATTACGCTATGGTGTAGGCTTGATGGAGGTCGAATGTTGGATATGTTGAAAGGGAAGAGATTAGTTTTCGTGGGCGATTCGCTGAATCGAAACATGTGGGAATCGCTTGTTTGTATATTGAGAAACTCAGTTAAAGATCGAAGTAAGGTGTTTGAAGCTAATGGCAGACAGGTATTCAGAGGGGAAGCAGCCTACTCTTTCATATTTAAGGTTGGTTTTGTGTTCTTCTTGTTCTTTCAAGGATTTGTTTTTGCAAACTATTGCGCAGCTCTGTTTTGGTGATGTTTATTCATTTGTTCCTGTTTTTTGTCATTGGTTTGATGATAGGATTATAACTTCACCGTAGAGTTCTTTGTGTCTCCTTTCTTAGTCCGAGAATGGGAGGTGCCAGACAAGAACGGTAAGAAGAAGGAAACGTTGCGTCTCGATTTGGTCGGGAAATCGTCTGTTCAATACAAAGGAGCTGATATAATCATCTTCAACACTGGTCACTGGTGGACTCATGACAAAACTTCAAGAGGGCAAGTGTGAATTGTGTTGTGTTTTTTTATGAGTGAAATTCAATGCGTGTATTTCGAAGTTTGACGAGTTCGGTGATGTCGAACAAACGCAGGAAAGATTATTACCAAGAAGGGAGCCATGTTTATGAAGAATTGAATGTTCTAGAGGCGTTTCGAAAGGCGGTAACGACATGGGCGAGATGGGTTGATAAGAACATAAATCCAATGAAGTCCATTGTTTTCTTTAGGGGCTACTCTGCATCCCACTTCAGGTACAAAGAACATAGAACTGAATGAGAATTTTATTTTGCACACTGAAACAATCAATCAACCTTGGGTCACATGAATCCATCTTGTGCTTCACAGTGGAGGACAATGGAACTCCGGTGGGCAATGCGACAGTGAGATCGAGCCAATCAAGAACAAGACGTTTCTGAGACCGTACCTGCCGAAGATGATGATACTGGAGAAGGTATTGAAAGGGATGAAAACTCACGTAACATATCTGAACATCACAATGATGTCAGATTTTCGGAAGGACGGGCACCCGTCGATCTATCGAAAGCAAAGGCTAACAGAAGAAGAGAGGAAAACACCTTTGAAATTCCAGGACTGCAGCCATTGGTGTCTTCCGGGTGTTCCTGATGCATGGAATGAGATGCTATATGCAGAACTGCTACTGAGACAGCATCAGCAAGAGAGAACATAGAGAGCTACAAAGAAAGAAACAAATAAACAAAAAAAGAAAGGTAAATATTTTATTGGGTTTGAGTTCATATCGTCAAGTTCTTAGAAGATTTGTGTGTTTTTGCTTTTCTGGAAATCGTATAGAAAAGATCGATCAAACAGCAAGAGTTAGGCCCAAAGAATTGATATGGGTTCATTTTTTCTTCATTCTACAATAATTTATGAGAGAGTAGGGCATAGATAGGAGGCTAGTTTGTGTTTCTTGAGGATGATCTGCTTCTGTTCATAAGGGAATGCTTTATTGCAAATATTTATGTTATATTTTCAATATAAGTCTATACGTAGATATTGTTCGTGTTAGCTTATTACATATCATTATCAGTCTCACGGTTTTAATTGTGTTTGAGAGAGGTTTCACACCCTTAGATAGTGCAGGTTTCACACCCTTAGATTGTGTTTAAGTCTACATGTAACAGTCTAAGCTCATTGTTAGCAGATATTGTCCGTTTTAGCTTATTAGATATCGCCATCAGCCTCATGATTATAAAAGGTGTCTGCGAGAGGTTTCCACACCCTTAGATAGGATCTTACGCTATCTATTTTCTAGGGAAAGAAAAGAGTGACCACTAATCATTAGGATGGAGGGGACTAATAAATAAAACTTCAAGATTTGAGGGACTAAAAAAGTAATATAGTTTTTGTAGTTGACGTTGAGTCTCAATTCATAGACGACCTCCTAAATGTGGCATTGTGAGTCAGATTCTTATTAAGTATGACAATGACTAAGAACCACCTTTATTTTTGGGCTCATATTTTTCTTGGCTGGTCCTTTTAATTATTCCATTGTTTTTGTTAATTTATTCCCATTCACCTCCTTACTCCATTTATTAGCTTCAAAATTATTGAGTTTTGGGTGGGCCCATAAAACGTGTTTGAAACTCGAGTCACTTTATTTATTAAAAAAGAAATTTATATTTTTTATTATTAAAGAAATGAGCATGCGAATTAAAAGAAAGAAAAAACGAGTTTCAAACTCGGCTATAGCTATATGATATGAGGGCGTTTGGAATTAAGAAAGATTGGGATGTTTAGTGGGTCGGATATGAAATTATGGTTAAGAAAGTTTTCAAAAAAATTGATAGTTATTACCTATACCAACTAAGTGCATATTTCTTTTAGGTGACTCAATTGTAGAAACTCCAAATTTAAACGTGCATGGCTCGGAGTAATTTTATATCGGGTGACCTCCTAGGAGGTATGTGAGTATGGACAAAACTTGGGTTCGTGTTGGTTTGTGGGAATAGTTTTCATTCTTAGAAATATTTCTAGATAAATAGGTAACGTTGTTATGTCGTAAGAGAATGTTAGAGCCATCCGGTGCCAAATCTAGAACTTTGAGTTTAAGTTGAAATTACAATTATAATATTTATGAAAGTATAAAGTGTTCTTAATGAAATTTTATGCAAGGTTTAGGGTTAAAACTCCAATTTAAGCTTAAACATGAAAAATAGATTTAAATGTAATGGGCCTGTGAAGTGAAGCGCTGTTGGATTTGGGCCTTCCACCATCTTTTTACGGGCTTTATCAACAGCCGTGGCCCAGCCCATACAATATTAAGTTAATTTTCCGATGTCAATTAAATAATAAATTGTTTTATAGAAAGGTACTTTTGGTTGAAATTAAGTTTTTAAAAAAATGTTGATATCGACCAAAATATCGAACATACAGATGTGCATCGTCTTAGCTAAGGTTGTTTGGATTGAACAAAATTTGGGCGCTTTAGGGTGCTCGACGACCTATTCCCATTTTCCCGAACTCTTGATTATGAAGCCACAAGATTAGATTTTTTTTTACTTCAAACTTTTAATGGTTTGACTTATTTTTGTTCTTTTTCTATCAAGTGTTGGAGAAGGACATGAGTTGACAATTCTATCTTCAGATTTTTTTTTACTTCAAACTTTTAATGGTTTGACTTATTTTTGTTCTTTTTCTATCAACTTTGCAATTAAAAAGTGATCTTTATTCACTGATTAATTCTATCTTCCACTCAATGCATATCATGGATGCCCAAGTTATCATCTTCCATCAAATCTTAGGTAGATGGGTCATTCAATTTAGATTAGGGTTAGAAATATTTGTCCAGAAGCGATTAGGATTGAAATTGAAAGTTCGACCTACCTACTTACTATCGAGATTCATTTTAGGTGACCGTACAAAAAAAAGACAGCTATGAGATCTCACATTGGTTGAAGAGTGGAACGAAGGATTCCTTTTAAGGTTGTGGAAATCTCTCTCTAATAGACGCGTTTTAAAACCATGAGGCTGACAACGATACATAACGAGACAAAACGGATAATATCTACTCGTGGTGGGCTTAGGCTGTTACAAATGGTATTAGAGGTAGACACTGGGCGGTGTACTAGCAAGAAAGCTGTGTTTCCAAAAAGGGTGGATTGTGAAATCTTACGATGGTTGAAATGGAGAACGAAACATTACTTGTAAGAGTTTGGAAAATCGAAAGATTAACGATGATACGGGTTAAAGCAAACAATATCCGCTAGCATTTTGACTTCCAATAATAAAATCAAATGAACTTAAAAGAAGATCAATTTAATCATTTTAGCATTTTGACTTCGAGATTTGGATTAGTATGTAATCTGATTTTGATTTTGGTTAATGATTTTCAAAGTAAAATGATTGTATAACTTTTTTTATTTAAAATAAAAGGTCAACCTTGAAAAGTCAACACCATGGATGAAAGTCGCACCATATTTGATCAATGTCCGTTGGAGGAGCCTAGAGATTGGCTCTGAAATTCATGCTTAGGGTTTTATTATTATGTCCATTGGCAGCCATGGCTGCATACCTTAATGCTTTGCCTTGCAAGATGTTAATAATTATAATCACTAATATGCAAATATTAACAGATCTCTTACATGAATAACATTATCAATATAATCTCTCTCAAAACTCATTTAAAAAACTGACCCTTTTGAATTCATATCAATATCCTTGGCGGGGCTGCAGTGGTGGTGGAGGTGGTGGCGATGGAGGCGGCGGGAGCGGTGGCGACGACCCGCTCGCAGGACGGGCACATGGTGAGGGTGGTGGCTGGGAGGTGACTGTAAAACGGCTGAGAAGCTTTGAAGGCTCTTAATTCTTGAAGTTCCTTTTGTAATCTTCTGTTCTCTTCTGTCAATGTCTCACACCATCTCTTTAAATACTCACAATCCTCTTCTGTCTGCTTCAACTTTGTCCTAAAATCCATCAATTTTTCGGAGTTATTAATGATTTTTCAGACAAAATCCATTTTATATATTTATTTATTTGTGTGTATGTATATATGTGTGTGATATCGTCCGTTGGGAGTAGAAAAACACTCCTTATACGGCTTTGGAAATCTCTCCCTAGTAGACGTTTTTTAAAAACTTTGAGGATAAACTCGAAAAGGAAAGTCCAAAAAAAACAATATCTACTAGCGGTGGGCTTAGACCGTTACAAATGGTATCAGAGCCAAACACTGGGTGATGTGTCAGAGAGGAGGCTATTCCTCGAAAAGGGTGTGGCTGGAAGGTGGTATCAGACACGAGGTGATGTGCCTGCAAGGACACTGGGCCCTGAAGTAGGGTGGATTTGGTGGAGGTCTCACATCGATTAGAGAAAGAAACAAGTGTCAGCGAGGACATTAGACCTTGAAAGAGGGTGGATTGTAATATCCCACAGAGTGCTCGGGAGAACGCTGAACCCTGAAAGAGGGTGGATTGTGATATCCCACATCGGTAGGGAGGAGAACGAAACACCGTTTATAAGGGTGTGGAAACCTCTCCACGAATTTTAAAAATTTTGAGAGTAAACTTGAAAGGAAAAGTGTAGAGCGGACAATATCTACTAGTCTTATGTAAGTATGTATGTACCTTGCTCTTCTGTTTTGAAACCAAACTTCCACTTGTCTTGGTCGGAGATTTAGCTGCTTGGCCAGTGCTGCCTTCTGCTTCTGTAATTTGGATATGAAATTATTAGGGTTTATATATTACAAATAAATGATTTGCAATTATAAAAAAAAAAAAAAAAAAAAATATGGGATTTTGAAATAAAAGGGGGACTTACAGGATTGAGGGTGCTGTGTTGTTTGAAGCATTGTTCGAGAAAAGCGGATTGTTCTTTAGAAAGTCGGAGCTTTTTCCGAGCAGATGCGTTTTCTTCATCGTCGCTGATTCTTGACGACGACCTTTCGGTCTCCATTTCCATGTCTGATGATCTCTTGCTTCTTGTTCTTCCTCTTCCTCCTCCATTTCTGACCCCAAAATCCATCTGGAAAGATGTTACCGTACTGTTCGGAGACTTGTCTTCTGTCTCCTCCGCCGGTATCATTGCCACGGCTGCCGCCAACGCCGGCGGCCGGCTTACGTCCAATACTTTGTCCGTACAACCCAGTTCCGGCATCACTGCACAAATAGCACCAGAGATTCACCTCAAATTGCCCCAATTCCCCAAGTCTTAATTCTTGGATCATCAAAAATTTAATCTTTAACAAAACCCATAAATAAAAATAAACTAAAGAAGAATGGTAAGGACTCAAATTCACGGCTAATAGATATGGTTCTTTACAGGGATGAGGAAGGCAGGAAAATGGAAGGGGAGAAGAAGACTGAGGAGAAGAACGAGGAACCGGAGCCAAAGGAAGAAGATCCAGCTGAACCGGCGGATCCAAACCATACCCAGAACCAGGAATAGTTTTTTCATCATCCTTCTCATCTTCATCTTTTACATCTCGTCCATCTTCATCACGAACCCGACCGGATCCGGAACCAGAACCAGAACCAGAACCAGAACCAGAACCATGTCCCAATCCAACACAAAACCCTAAAGCCATGAGAGAAGAAGAAGAAAGGTTATGAGAAGGAATAGAGCGAACCCCAAATGGGTTATTTGAATTGGGAGCATCACCAAGCCTCAAACCCAACTCCATTCCCACAAACAACAACAACAACAACCTTAAAACAATACTCCAATGGATGTCCCCTTTTAAATACGACACAAAAATTATTATTATTATTATTATTATTATTATTATTACTATTATTATTATTATTATTATTATTATTATTATTATTATTATTTGACCGACAAACCATATTCAGAAGTGCACGTGAAAATATTTAATCATACACGAGACTTTAGACTTTAGAGACACTGAAAAAATACCCAAATAAACCAAAGTTAACGAAAATATTAGTTTTATTTTAAAAATGATTATTTGCTTTAGTGGTTCATAAGATAATTTCTGGGATGCTTGGTTCCTAAGCTACTAAATGTGTATATAATGATGAAAT